TCAAACAAAACACACACATAAAATCATCTCATGATTATCCTTACTTATTACTTTATGCATTCTGCCATAGTGTTTTAATGTTTTTTTTCTCTCTCTCTCAACTCCTCTTGCTGCTTCTTGCACACATCCTTGCTGTTCTTGTGTAAATTCTGACTGTAAAGAGACAATTTGCTCAATAGTCTCCTGCAGCTCTTGTTCTAAGGTTTCTGATGCCAGATGATCAGAGGCCAGCTCTGCTGTTATGGTCTGTTTCCTGTACTCCTTAGCTCTCTCCGGGACCCGTTTTTACAGGCTTGCCGACAACAGCTGCGCTCTCGAAAATCGATAGCACTCAGGCTGAGATAGCCCAGCCCACCCTCCCCTCAAGTGACCCGGTACCACCCCAACATCAGCTGGAAGACGTGCGGGAGGATTGGGATATCTGGGAAAAGAACTGTGATGGGCTGAGTGATCAGCAGCGGGCAGAATTGTGGCAGGTCCTATGGAAATTTCAGGAAATATTTGCCCTCAATGATAATGAGGTCGGCCTCACATACCTAGTTGAGCATCACATCGATACCAGGGAGGCGAGGCCCATCAAAGTTCGCCCCCGCCAGCTGCCCATGGTAAGGTAGGAGGCTGCGGATAGGGAGGTCCGCGCCATGCTGGAGGCAGGCATAATAGAAACCATCAGACAGCCCTTGGTCATCAGCGGTGGTCATGGTGCCAAGGAAGAAAGGTTCCAGATGGAGGTTATGTGTTGATTAAAGGCCCTTAAACAAAGGGACGAGAAAGGACTGTTACCCCCTCCCCAGAGTTGATGAGACCCTGGATTTGGTGTCAGGCTCATCATGGTTCTTGTCACTTGATCTGTGCAGTGGCTACTGGCAGGTCCCCCTTGACCCGGAGTCGAGACCACAAACTGCATTCAGTACCAGCAGGGGGCACTGGCAATTTAAAATTCTGAGTTTTGGTCTGTGCAATACCCCAGGGACATTTGAAAGAATTATGGAGTGTGTTCTGGCCAATGTTCTGCACCAGGAGTGTCTGGTGTATCTGGATGATGTTCTTGTCCATGGGGGGTCCTTTCAGGCTGCATTGCACTCGCTGCAGCTGGTGCTTAGGAGGATTGAGGCTGCAGGACTGAAGCTGCACCCAGACAAATGTCATTTTATGCAGCGAGAAGTGGAGTTCCTGGGTCACAAGGTGAACGGGGAGGGCATCAGTACACTCCAAGAGAAAATCATGGCCATCAGAGACTGGCCGGTTCCAGGTAACCCCAAAAAACTTTTGAGTTGTTTCTGATTGGCCTCTTATTATCGGAGGTTTGTTAAGGGGTTTTCCTGCATTGGTGCACCCCTTTTCCACCTCCAACAGAACAAACGGCCTTTCCTGTGGGCACCGGATTGCCAGGACACATTTGTCACCCTGAAGCAGGCACTTATAAGTGCCCCCGTTCTCAACCCCCCCAGATCCCGCATTACCATTCACGCTGGACACAGACGCCAGTGATGTGGGCATGGGTGCAGTGCTGGCACAGGTGGGCCCAGGAGGTGAGCGTGTGGTGGCTTATTTCAGTTGTGTCTTTAACAGAAGTGAAAGACGCTACTGTGTGACAAGGTGTGAACTCTTGGCTGTCATGTTGGCTGTCCGGCATTTCAAATACTACTTGTGTGGCGTACCTTTCACCATCAGGACAGAACATGCTGCACTACAGTGGTTGATGTCATTTAGGGAACCCGAAGGTCAGGTGGCACGGTGGTTGGAGGAGCTGCAGTCTTTCCAGTTCAATGTTCCACTTCGATGTGTGCATCGCTCTGGGGCCCAACATGCTAATGCCAATGCCCTGTCCCGGCGTCTCTGTGCAGCTGCTGGCTGTACCTACTGTGATCAGAGGGACACCAAGGAGGAGGAGCTCAAGGGAGAGACAACTGTCGCTGAGCCTTCGTGCTGCTCGTTGGATATTGTGGGCGCTGCAGATTGGGCATCGCAGCAGGAGAATGATAAGGACTTAAATCCTGTGTGGCTGTGGGTCCAGGGTGGGGTGAGAACACCCTGGGAGGATGTGGGGGGTGGCCACAAAGGGCTTATGGAGTAAGTTCAGCATGCTGCACATGGCGGACGGGGTACTGCAGTGGGCTTAGAAGGAGCCTGCCATGGGGGAGGAGAGGTGGCAAGTGGTGGTACCCAAAGCGCTAAGAGAATCCGTGCTGAGGGCATGCCATGGGGGTGCAGGTGCAGGGCACTTTGGGAGCACTAAGACCCTCCGTCGGCTGCGGCAGAGATTTTACTGGGGCCAGCATCGCCGTGATGTGGATGATTTCTGCCGGCGTTGTGACAAGTGTGCAGCATATAAGGGACCTCTCGACCAGTCACACGTGCCCCTGCAACAACAAGCTATTGGAGCACCCATGGAGAGAGTAGCGGTGGATATTATGGACCCTTCCCTGTGACAGATCGAGGGAATAAATATGTGTTGTGTGCAATGGACTATTTCACGAAATGGCCAGAAGCTTATGCTCTGCCAGATCAAGAGGCAGAAACAGTGGCAGATGCTTTGCTGGAGGGTGGAACACCGGACGTCCTCCGCAGTTACAGCTGCTCATGTCAATCTGCTTTGGGATCGAAATGAATCAAGGCTGGTTTTATTCCAAGTCTCAGATTTGATCAGATTTTAAAATCAATATTTTCTGTCACCACAGACCTTTTGACTGCCGACTCTCAGAGTCTCACTGTGAAGTCGTGGCCTCAGCTCTGAAGTCCAACCCCTCCCATCTGAAAGAATTGGACCTGGATGAGAACAACCTGCCGCTCCTGTGTGCTGGACTGGAGAGTCCACCCTGTCGACTGGAGACTCTGAGGTCAGTTCATGTGTTTCTGCTCTTGTACATTTTATATCAACAGAGGTTTTCAATGTTCTTCAGTTCATTGGTTTTGCTGAGTCATCAAACTGGATTGGTATTTGTGAGAAAACTGTCAATTTTTCTCTAACGTGCTGTGACATGAAGTCACTGTTTCTAATGTTTGGTATATAATAAACACATTGATAGCAAACACACATGAACAATGAGTCTTTCTTCACATGTTCATGTGCTGCTACTGTTTATTTCTTGAACTCAGATGTTCAGACATGAAACAGTAACTGTGGCCTGTGCAACAGTTCAGGCTCCGTTCTACTTGGAAAAGGTTTTGGATCCAAAATGTCAGATGGTTTAATTCTTACACACTTGGCTGAGGTCAGCAGTGTTTGTGAATGAAGGAATGATTCACAGAGTGTTTCCTGTAGGCTTTCCCATGAATCAGTGTTGTCATGAACAGGTGTGGAAAGTTGTGCTGATATGTGGATGATGTCTGTAGAAGGCTGACATGATGATAATCCACAGGAACAGGAGGACAAAGTGGGTCTGCTCATTGATTAGGACACATCTGATTGGGTTATCAATGACTTCATCTACATCAGGGGTGTCAAACTCATTTTAGTTCAGGGGCCACATACAGCCTAATTAGATGTCAAGTGGGCCGGACCAGCGTAATCATAGCATAATTCCCTATAAATAACAATAATTCCACTTTTTCCCTTTGTTTTCGTGCAAAGAAATACAAGTACATTAGGAAAATCTTCATATTTAATTAAATATCCTTTTACAAAACATATCAGCAACAACCTCAGATTTATTATGACAAACATGTGCGATTTGCTTCTGATTATCATTTACATGTGTGCCTTACAACTGGCCACAGTGTTTGGAACTGAATAACATAGTGCTGCAGTTTCAAATTTATGGCATTGCATGAACAATAGTATTCCACCAATCAGTGTCTGAAGCAGCATTTTGAAGGAGTTAGTCATGTCCAGACTACTTTGTTTGGGCTCCTAAAACTTGGCATATTTTGGTCTGTACAAGTACATCAACATCAGGCGTCATGTCCTGAGTAGCAGCCAATCTTCGAATGTCACTTAAGTGCTTGTGTGTTAGCCTTAATTGCAATTTTGTTTTATTGATGTTCATTACTGAGAAAACTTGTTCACAAAGGTAGGTTGTCCCAAAAATGCACAAAGTTATTGCAGCCAGGGCTGTTAATTTGGGGTATCCTGGCAAGAGATACTGATAAAATGTGTCCAAGCCCACTGAGGCAAATTTGTCCTTCAAATCTGCATCACATTGCAGATCAGTTATTTCTAGTTGGATGTCGACAAGCACATCAGAAGCTTTGACTGTGAAGGGTGAGCAAAAAACTGTAAATTCTGTCTCAAGTTCACCAAAGACCAGAAACCATTTCACAAACTCCCACAGCAATTCCACAATCTTTTCTTTATACTGTTTCATGTCAGCATTAACGACAGTCACACGTACATCTCTTAGACAGGAGAAATGAGCAGGGTCACCACATGCCAGCTGTGTTTCCCACAAAGTCAGCTTCAACTTGAACGCACGTATGCTGTCATAATACTGTGCGACAACTTTTTTACGGCCTTGCAACATTTTGTTCAAATTATTGAGGTGCTCTGTAATATCTACCATAAATGCAAGATCCTGCAGCTATTCCGGAGATTGCAATTCCATCACTGGTTTTCCTTTTGTCTCCATAAACTGTCCAATTTCCTCTCGTAGCTCAAAGAAACGCTTCAGCACAGCGCCTCGGCTTGAACATCTTACTTCAGTGTGGTATGGCAGGCCATGGGTAATGTTATTGTCACTGAGAAGGCAGTCAAACTGACGATAATTCAGACCTCTGTCTCGGATAAAATTAACAGTTCGAACAACCACCTCCATGGCATGATCCATTTTTTAATGACTTGCAACACAATGCCTCCTGGTGCAAAATACAGTGAAATGTAAATGGTCTTATATTTGTATAGCGCTTTTCTACACTTTTACAGCACACTCAAAGCGCTTTTAAACTACTCGGACATTCACCGATTCGCACTCCCAAACACACACACACACCTTCACACACCGGTGACATCACTGGGAGCAACTGGGGGTTCAGTGTCTTGCTCAAGGACACTTCGACATGTTGACTGGACACGCCAGGAATCGAACCGCTAATCATCCGGTTAGGAAACGACCCACTCTACCTCCTGAGCCACAGCGCCCCCGATGTCCAAAAAGCATCTCCTCCATTCGCGGCTTGTACTTTCTCTCTGAATTTTGTCACAACACTGCTTTAGCTTAGCTGTGTCTATCTCAGCATTGTTTTGCCTTTCTTTTCTTCCTCTTTCAGCTGCTCCATGTCAAACAGTGTGTCCCTAGCGGACAATTTAGGAAAAAAAAAAAAATTAAAAAATTAAAATTAAAAAAAAAAATTCTAGTTCATGTCTCATTGCATTTTTTTCACTTTCAGATTTATCCTGCGGGCCGGATTGAACCCCTTGGCAGGCCGGCTCCGGCCCGCAGGCCGTACATTTGACACCCCTGGTCTAAGCAGTGCGATGATGATTGGTTTCTGATGCCCTGGTGCTCCACACCTGCTTTTGGTGCCTGCAGCTGAGATTTCTCTGATTTCATCACTGGGGAGAGGGACATGTGGACCATCGCCAAGTGCTGCTCAAGAGGGATTGGTTGGGTTTTTACTTAATAATAATAGTAAGGTCTAGATCTTACTTTGTAAAGTGTCCTAAGATGACTTTGGTTGTGATTTGGCACTATACAAAAAAACTGAACTGAAAAGATGTCACACTGTAATAACACCACTATCTCCAACTTGAACAACAACAGTAACATCCTGAGAAAAACAACTGGAACAGAAGCACTTCTGGTATCTATCTACGGCACTGGGGCTCTTGAAAAAGAAGAACGATGAAAATATGGCGGGAAACCTACGCTATTGATTTAAACATATAAAAGATGAACAGTCACAGAAGCACTTGTTGGATTAAGTTTCTGAAACTTAAGGAAAACAGGACTCAACTGTACAAACCTTAAAGTTTCTCTCAATCACCACAACTAAGAGGTTTGTCTCCTGTGTGGTGTCTCATGTGCTTTTTAAGATGCCCCCTATGGTTAAATCTTTTCCCACAATCACGACAACCATATGGTTTTTCTCCTGTGTGGCATCTCATGTGCTGCTTAAGATTCCCCCTTTGGGTAAATCTTTTCCCACAATCACCACAAACAAAAGGTTTTTCTCCTGTGTGGACTTTCATGTGATCTTTAAGATTCCACTGTGTGGTAAACTTTTTTCCACAATCATCACAAACAAAATGTTTCTCTCCAGTGTGGACTCTGATGTGCCGTTTAAGATGTTCCTGTCGGGTAAATCTTTTCCCACATTCACTACAAACAAAAGGTTTCTCTCCTGTGTGGACTCTCATGTGCCTTTTAAGATACCCCTGTGTGATAAATCTTTTTCCACAACAACCACAAAAAAGAACTTTCTCTCCTGTGTGGACTCTCATGTGCATGTTAAGACACTGCTGTCGGGTAAATCTTTTCCCACACTCACCACAACTAAAAGGTTTCTCTCCTGTGTGGACTCTCATGTGCAGCTTAAGATTCCCCTGTGTGGTAAATCTTTTCACACACTCACCACAGCCAAAAGGTTTCTTTCCTGTGTGGACTCTCATGTGTAGCTTAAGATTCCCCCTGTGTTTAAACCCTTTTCCACACTCAGAACAGCTAAAACAAGACTGTCCAGCTGAGCTCTCGGCTCCAGGTTCCTCCTCTCTTCCCTCCCCAGTCTGACACTGAAGTGGCTGTATAGACTGAGGTCTCTCCTCATCCTCTTCAGTTTTCACATGAACACCAGTGGACGGGAACTTAGTGTCATCAGCCTCCTCCAGTCCATGCAGCTGCTCTGCCTCCTGACTGGTCCAGAGTTCCTCATCTTCCTCTTTGATGTGTGGGGGCTCTGGGTCCTCCTGGTCCAGACTGGGACTCTCCTCTAGGGGGGGCTCTTCTTTAATCACCAATAGATGCTGGATGTCTGCAAGGAACAATAAACACATTATGGAGAGCTAGGACTTTATACTGACACTGATATCACTGGTTTCTTTCCTGAATGTCAGTGACACCACTGATTCCTCTGCAGATCTGCACCAGCTGAAATGTTGTCACCAAGAAGTATTCTACTACTAGAATGTAAAAATACTAGGGCTGTACCCAGTTAAGAATTTTGCCAGTCAACTGCCCTAGACTGTCAAAAAATCAACTGGCATGAAGTTCATGACGTGCGTTTCCTGGGGGGAAGGCAGCTGCTCGGTCCACGGTGAAAACCACCGTCAGATCCATCAACAAAAAAGCCACGAAGAAGATAAAACCCAGCAACCCAGTGGTCGCTCCCGGCCAAGCCAACAGTCTCCCACAGAACCAGCACAGAGACCCGCGGTACTGGTACCTGTTGACTACCAGCGTTAAAACCAACAGTTTAATCAAATGAGAATTTACCAGTGACAAAGAGGACAATGATGAAGATGACTGAGGAGGAGCGGGAGTGTAAAGTGAAGGAGGAGGCTTACTGGTACAGCCTCGCCAGGGTTCCAGCCAGCCTGAGTTCATGTTCCACCAAACTGGAGTGAACCAGCATGTACAAGTCGTCGGGTCTGCTGCTGTACTGCCAGAAAAACACCACCCAGCAGGGCACCAGCAGCTCCCCCTACCCGGCCTCCCTCTCACCAGCATCTTCGTCCTGGTCCGAATCCATCTCCTCCTTGTCCTGCTGCAGGGAGGACCTGGACAATCTTCCCACGCCATTGAGCTCGTCTTTCAGCTCGGCCTCAGGGAACCTGAGCCTGTCCCTGGTGGATAAAGACCTGGACTCGTGCAGCAGCGAGGGCAGCCTCGGGTCTCACTTCGAGCTCCCGGATTATTGCACATCGGAGCTGTGGCCACCTCTGCCAGTGCTCAGTATGCGGGGAGCAAGCAGCTTTGGGGGTCACACACTGCGGTACTGATGCAAAAGGACCAATGACATGAAATCACCTTGACAGGGTTTTATGGATTTAGTTTTCAGTCGCTCGGGTCTGAACCAGCACCCGAACTATGCATTCCCATCCAGAACCAGAAGTGACTTTTATTAGCACTAATATCAAGGATTAATTTTTTAAATGGTTTTGTTTCCTTCCTTTCCAGCAGCAGGACTGACGTATCAGCTTCAGGCCTGTGGTGTGTGTGCCTCCGTCCTTTTTATTTTGGGGCTCTGTGGCTCCTCTTGGTGTCCCGACATGTTTCAAACCCAGGCGACCAGAGGTATGGCAGGAAACAGTTTTTAATATTCCAGTAACCAAACGTACCTCATCATTTTAAACAATATCCACAAGGAAAACTATTGTCAGGCTTATTTTTGTAGTCAGAGGGAATGTCAGCGGCTTTTTCAGGCATTTCTTGTACCATTTTTCATCAGACTGTTACTTGTTACTGGGCATGTGAGGGTCACACCCCTGCAGCCTGCCTTGCTTTAATGCCATGCTGAAGTTTTAACCCACGTGCAGACCGATGGTCACGGTTGGACTGTCTGGGAGAACCGGTACCAGATCCAGGATTATATATGTCGTGTAAAATAGTAAGAGTAGGAGTTTATGTATATTGTGTGAATGAGTCCTTGGAAGCAGGAGAACTGGATCTTGTTACATCTTAACATCATCAGTGGCACATCTTTGTTTGCTCATTATTTTTGTGGCCTTTTATTGTGGCCAGCCTAAGGCACACCTGTGCAATAATCATGCTGTCTAATCAGCATCTTGATATGCCACACCTGAGGTGGATGGATTATCTTGGCAAAGGAGAAGTGCTCACTCACACAGATTTAGACAGATGTGTGAACAACATTTGATAGAAATAGGCCTTTTGTGTACATAGAAAAAGTCATAGATCTTTCAGCTCATGAAAAATGGGGGCAAACGCTAAAGTGTTGCGTTTATAATTTTGTTCAGTGCACATACTGCTGCATGTGTGCTTTAGTGAATGTCCTGGCACACAGCTTGTTCACCGTCGCAGTGGGTGATGAAGTTAGTGAGTCCGACCTTTAAGTCCAAACTCCCTGGGACGGGAGGACACAGTGCTCTCAGTCTGCAGCTGGAACACCAGGGTCCTCACCGACAGACCGATGTGGTCTGAACGAGATGTAGCTAGCAGCTACAATTAGCTTTTATGCTAGCAGGTCCTCACAGCAAATTTCCAAACTGGAATAACTTGCATAGCCTGACCATATATTGACATAACTTGCATAGCCTGACCATATATTGACATAACTTGCATAGCCTGACCATATATTGACATAACTTGCATAGCCTGACCATATATTGACATAACTTGCATAGCCTGACCATATATTGACAATCTAAGTCAGGTGAGCAAACTTTTTGACTGGCGGGCCACAATGGGTTCTAAAATTTGACAGAGGGGCCGGGCCGGGAACAGAAGGATGGAGTGTTTGTGTGAACTAATATAAATGACATATACGTAAAAGCCATTACATAAAAGGTTTTGGACTTTAACAGGTATTGTACAAAGTATTCTCCAAATGCATTTTTTTCATAACACAGTAGAGAAATAAACCTTCAGTTTCAGAGGAAACAGTGTTGTTGGTCTCCCTTTTTAGCCAGTGCATCAAAGTCTGGAGTTAGTTTTGTTGTGGCTATTCTCAGGATAGATCTGAGGTGTTGGGCAGTAAACATAGATCTGTGACTGACTTTGTTGATGTTCATGATGCTGAACGTCTGCTCACACACATAGGTCAAGCCAAACAACACCAGCATATTCTGTGCTGTCCTCCGGAGGATTGGCAACGTGGCTTCATTAAGTGAAGCATAAAAGTCATTAAGTTTAAGAGAGTTGAACTTCTCCTTTAAAACGGAGTCAGACTAAAGATCGATTAGTTCCAATTGCAGCTCCTCTTGTGCTGTTTCAGGGTCTTGTGACAGGGGACAGGACACCAGCTGAAGTGACTTGTCAATTTTTTCTATATCAGAGAACAGACGGCAGAATTCTCCATGCATGTCCAGTGATTTGCTGTATTTCTTCGCGTTTCAGGTGGCCTCTTTCTGCATGGCCAGTGTGGGGAAAATGAGCGAAAGATTTGTTTGAAATTTGTCTGGAGAATAAAGTCAGCTTGGATTTGAAGGCTCTCACATTTGTGTACATGTTGTGCACAAGCTGATCTTTCCCCTGTAGCTTCACGTTCAGCTCATTCATGGGTGAAAAAATGTCCACAGCAAGCGCAAAGTCACAAAGCCACTTCTTGTCGCACAGCTCAGGAAATTCATTGGATTTCCCCATTAACTCCAAAAATGCACTAATCTCCTCTTTGAGCTCAAACATTCATTGAAACACTTTGCCCAAACTTAACCAGCGGACACGAGAGTGGTAAAGTAAGTCCTGGTGATCCGCATCGGTTTCCTCCAGGAACATAATGAACTGACGGTGCTGAAGTCTCCTTGCTCGTATAAAGTTAACAAGTCTTACGACTGGATTCACGGCATGATTAAGCTGCAATACAGGCTTACACAGACATTCCTGATGAATGATGCAGTGAAGGAAAGTAATATCCTGGTCAGGGTTTTCCTCCTTCACTTTATTCTGGATTCTTTTCAGCAGCCCGATGTTTTTTCCAGTTAAATTTGGTAATCCATCTGTGGTGACATTGGCATGTTTACTCCAAGGTAGCTTCATTCTCTTGATGACAGCAGAAACCTGGTCATACAAGTCCTCTCCTCACGTATTTCCTTTCAGGGACTCCATGGCCAAAAACTCCTCCGTTATCTCAAAACCGTCGTTAATCCCTAGGATAAAAATTAGGAGCTGAGCAGTGTCTTTTATGTCATTACTTTCATCCAGTGCTAGTGACTAAAACTTAAAGGACTCCGCCTTTTTGTTTAACTCTCTGGATATTTCTTCGTCAATCAGTTTCACATGGCGAGTCACTGTCCTGCGTGATAAACTGAATTTTTTTTACACTTGCCTTTGCTCTCCGGACACAAGAGACCTGCTGTCTCTAACATGCATTCTTTCAAAAACTGGCCTTCGGAGAAAGCCTTGCTAGCCTTTGCTAATTTGAATGCCATCATAAAACTTGCCTTGGTACTTTGGGTCAAAGGGCAAAGCGAAAAAGTGAAGTAGAGAGGTCAATGTGTCTAAAGTGCACCGTCTACTGGGGAAACGCGGGCAGTGCAAGGAAAAGGCAAAACGAATGAGGTTTAATGATAACATAATTTAATAATATAATTTGGACAAGTTCGGCGGGCCGGATTAAAAAGCCGAACGGGCCGTAGTTTGCCCACGCTTGATCTAAGTGGTCACTTTTTCACCTGAAAATATATCAAATTCAAATAGGTCCAGGGATTTGCATCTGAATATTGAATGTCCTGTAAGAACACCAAGGTAGCTGAAGGGTCTGGTGCCATAAAGCATTACACAGTTCTCACAAGAGGTTATCAGGATGGTGATCCAAAGTCATGTAGTGCACAGTCAGACGATCTGGTCGAGCGCTGGGAATAGCAGAGATGCTGTTTACCTTATCAGAAGTCGGTCTACCATTAGAATGATCTCAAATCTGCTATTTTGGTGTAAAATTGTTCCTTATTGCTGCTTTAAATAAAACCATGTGAGAAAGTTTTTGTCATCCAGATGGTAAGAAGAAACTCTATAGATAACAAAATGCCACCAGAACAACAGTAGCCTAATTATTTTTAAACAGCCCCAGTGTATGCTAATACATGACAGTGACACACTGCAATCATACAATCATTTTTATATGTACTATATGCATTTACATAATATTTTATTTACTATTAAGTTAGGAAGAACAGATATTTATCTTTACATCAGTAGTTTAAAAAAAATCTAAATCTATTTTTAATATCTCATCAAGCTGAAGTGTCAGGACTCAGTGTTTTCAGCTGATCTTAGGCTGATGTTGGATGTTCATCTTCTAACATAAAGGACAAAACATTCAAGAAAGTGGCAGAGTAAAAAGTGAAACCAGACAAAAGTGAACAGGTGCATAACTGAAAAGGCACAGACCTGCTCGGTGTAACACCACCTTAGGGTTGAACGCAGCTTCCAGGATCATCAGCCTCTGTCGGTTTTGTCTGGCCTGAGACAGCTGCTCCTCATTCTCAGCAGTGACTCCATACAGGACAAGTCTGTCTTCTGTAACAGCGTTTAGCTGCTGAGACAACAGATTTCAGCTTGTGAACATTTCTGCACATTTCTGCAATAAACTGTAGCTTGTTTACTGTTGTTCTAAACTAGAGTTCGATAAACACAGAGAAAAACAGTGTCTTGATAACAGCAACACCAACTGCTGCTGCTGCTAGGTTCCCTCTCTGTCAATGTGGTTCCAGCTAGCATACTAAGCTAACTAGTTTGTACAAAGCTTCTTCAGCCGTTTGTCATGTAGAACAAAACGTGAAACACGGAACAATAATCAAGTCACGTTTTGTTTCTACAGCCCGATGTCGTCTATACTTGAAGTGGAGCGTGCACATCTCAAGAAAATGTGAACTTAGGTGTTTGGGCAGATCTGCTGAATGAAAATCAAACCAAAGGGGACACCGGCACACTGACAGCGACACTGACACAGAGCTAGTGCCATTTGGCCGACACACACCCTCTGGAAGTAAACGCCTCAGCGCCTCACTCATTTACCTCAGGGCCCGTTTCAATGTGTACAGCATACGACGCCCTCTGTCCTGAGACCCTCGAATTGGATCAGGAAAAACTCCACAAAAAACATTTAACAATAAAAACATGGAAGAAACTTCAGGAAGAGCAACAGAGGCGGGCTCCCTCTTCCAGGACGGACAGGAAGCAAATATTGCGTGTACAGAATAAATCAACATAGCAGATTTACAGTGTGGACAGTCAGAAGGACATAATTATATATTTCAACTTACAGGTGTTTCCAAGGATCCCAGAGTCACATGACCTCCTCTGCACCGTGAACACCTGGACAGAGGACAGACTGCACAAACACATGAGAAGCAAAGTCACATCATTCCCACGTGTGGGAGAAAGTGGTCATCCTGCAGAATGACAGAGTTCACAGTGATATGAACGATACTACTGGATCATAGCGACTGATGCGTTACTATGTTCATCACTTTAATGTTTCAGCTGGTAAAGGTGGAGATGATGTGAAGTACTTCACATCCTGCTGGGTAGCTAGTGGATTTCCCACCGGGATCAACAGAGTCTGATGATTCTACTGTGTGATCAACATTCGTGCAAAAAATACTGACCAGTCGCAGGCCCATGCACAGCTGATGTGTTCACTGCTGCTGGTTGACATGTTACCAACATGAAGCAGTAGGAGCTCAGTGAACAATCAGTGCATTGGAGGTGGTCTAACACTGGAGCGGAGGGCATCTATTTTCTTGCAGCTTTCAGAGCCAATGTCATCTGTTCGTGTGTTATATTAAATATTATATAGTAACTTTCATTAGTTTTTTGTTTTGTTTTTAACCCAAAGTACTGCCAGATGTCTGTGGCTATAACATTCACCCTGTGACAAATGGCTACTAATTCATATTGTTATTCTGCCACACCAGAGTATAAAGTCAGTCTAATATTTGATTGTGTGGGCAGTTAGTTTCCACAGTGTTCACACAGACCTCGAAACAAGCTACACCTTAACCGTATGAGTGCACACATGCGTGTTATAGGTGCGCTCCGGTACTTCATCAAGTAGCGCTACACCTCTGATGGAAACATGTACACAAAAGTGGTTATAAGATCCACTGTCTGTTCATGTGTTATATTAAATATTACATAATAATGATTAGCTTTTTTTGTTTTGTTTTTAACCCAAAGAACTGTCAGATGAGCAAAGAGGTACTTTTAGATGCAGGACAACCTCAGCCCATTAACACCCCCAACGCAGGGAATATCCGAATATTCGCCGACTGTTAATGCTGAATATCCAGAGGCCAAAAACTGCCATTGGGAACAGCCCTCTGCTTCAGAAAGCCTCTGTTAATCCATCACTATGTGCAACTCTGTGTGTCCATCCAGTCCAAATCTGTCTGTGTCCATTGTGTTTAAATCATATGCAACCTTTTGAAGGTGTCCAAAGATCTACGGCCAGAGCTGGAGAAATACAGGTGCATCTCAATAAATTAGAATGTCGTGGAAAGTCCATTTATTTCAGTAATTCAACTCAAATAGTGAAACTCGTGTATTATATAAAGTCAGTACACATAGACTGAAGCAGTTTAAGCCGTTGGGTCTTTTAATTGTGATGATTTTGGCCCACATTTAACAAAAACCCACCAATTCACTATCTCAAATTAGAATACCTCATAGATCTATAAAAAAAACATTTTTAGTGAATTGTTGGCCTTCTGGAAAGTATGTTCATTTACTGTATATGTACTCAGTACTTGGTAGGGGCTCCTTTTGCTTTAATTACTGCCTCAATTCGGCATGGCAGGGAGGTGATCAGTCTGTGGCACTGCTGAGGTGGTATGGAAGCCCAGGTTTCTTTGACAGTGGCCTTCAGCTCATCTGAATTTTTTTGGTCTCTCATTTTCCTCTTGACAATACCCCATAGATTCTCTATGGGGTTCAGGTCTGGTGAGCTTACTGGCCAGTCAAGCACACCATGGTCATTTAACCAACTTTTGGTGCTTTTGGCAATGTGGGCAGGTGCAAAATCCTGCAAGAAAATAAAATCATCTCCAAAAAGCTGGTCAGCAGAAGGAAGCATGAAGTGCTCTAAAATTTCTTGGTAAACGGGTGCAGTGACTTTGGTTTTAAGAAAAACACAGTGGACCAACACCAGCAGATGACATTGCACCCCAAACCATCACAGACTCTAGAAACTTAACACTGGACTTCAAGCAACTTGGGCTATGAGCTTCTCCACCCTTCCTCCAGACTCTAGGACTTTGTTTTTTTCCAAATTAAATACAAAACTTGCTCTCATCTGAAAAGAGGACTTTGGACCACTGGGCAACAGTCCAGTTCTTCTTCTCCTTAGCCCAGCTAAGACACCTCTGACATTATCTGTGGTTCAGGAGTGGCTTGACAAGAGGAATACGACAACTGTAGCCAAATTCCCTGACCCGGTGGTGTGTGGTGGCCCTTGATGCCTTGACCCCAGCCTCAGTCCATTCCTTGTGAAGTTCACCCAAATTCTTGAATCAATTTTGCTTGACAAGCCTCTCAAGGCTGCGGTTCTCTCTGTTGGTTGTGCATCTTTTTCCTACCACTCAACTTTCTGTTAACATGCTTGGATACAGCACTCTGTGAACAGCCAGCATGCTTGGATACAGTACTCTGTGAACAACCAGTTTCTTTGGCAATGAATGTTTGCGGCTTACCCTCCTTGTGAAGGGTGTCAATGATTGTCTTCTGGACAACTGATCAGATCAGCAATCTTCCCCATGATTGTGTAGCCTAGTGAACCAAACTGAGTGACCATTTTGAAGGCTCAGGACACCTTTGCAGGTGTTTTGAGTTGACTAGCTGAGTGGCATGTCACCATATTCTAATTTATTGAGATAGTGGGTTTTTGTTAAATGTGGGCCAAAATCATCACAATTAAAAGACCCAACGGCTTAAACTACTTCAGTCTGTGTGTACTGAATTTATATAATACACGGGTTTAACTATTTGAGTTGAATTACTGAAATAAATGGACTTTTCATGATATTCTAATTCATTGAAATGCACCTGTATCTGTAAACTTTAAACATCTGGACAAGCTACATGGAGCACCTGATGGTAAAACTGAAACTGATCTGCTCAGGTTGTCTGTCAGTGAATCAGACAACAGAGTCTAAAGGTTTAAAATCAGAAACAGCATTGGGGTTGTTGAAAAAACAAACTTTAGGGTCAGTCATTATGGGACATTGTTTGGCTGTCGAAGAACTAAAACACCACCCAGGGGGATAAATACCTCCTGCTCACCACCTGTCAGACAGAACTGATGCCTCTTGGATGCAAGGTGAAACGTCTTCTACCGATAACTACGTCCAGATGCCTTCTTCTAAGTTTTTTTTCAGCATTCTACGACCTGGAAGACTGAGAAATTGCACAAACAGCTTTGGGGTTGTTTTAAACCAAAAAAACAAACAAAAACGGATTCATATAAGTAACTGCAGCTATATGGGGCAGCTGTGGCTCAGTTGGTAGAGCGGTTGTCTCCCAACAGGAGGGTTGGATGTTTGAATCTCAGTGCCTGCAGTCCTTGGGCAAAAACACTGAATCCCCAAGTTGCCCCCGACGGTTAGTGCCATCGGTGTGAGTTGGCACCGCAGATGGTGGCCTCGGTTCTGTGCGTGAAACAAATTCATTGTGTGTGTAACATACTTAGCCAAATAAAGGTGATTATCCTTATCCTTGTTGTGTGAGGAGTCTGAGTCTAGACAGGCAAACCTTTAGACACTTTTAACTGCAAGTAGCCATTTGGTACATCTGTAGTCCACTCTTTCATTACTTAGCCATAATGGACAGTAAAGCGCTAGAATCCTACTGTTTGTTGTTATATAAATTTATTTATTCAGCTGTAACCTGATGGGGATAAAGTGCTGCTCACCTCTACAGATAAAATCAGACCAGACATAGGTTCACTTACATGTCTCATTTGGAAAAGTGTTGAGGATAAAACATCTGTTACACATTTAAACATTTTGGTCAACAACATTTAAATAGCCTATCTATATATAAACATAAAAGTAATCAGAATAAATGAAACGCTGCGTATGCAGCAGACCATATTCAGAGGTTCACTTTAAACAGCTTTTAGTCCAGTTTAAAGTCTTTAGGATGCTCTACAGTCATCCTCACTCAGAAAGCAGGATCCACGCAGGCTGAACTGGCGTTAACTACTGGGAAAGCAACATCGGGAAACCCTGGGTGAACTGGTTAATGCTGGAGCCTTAACTGTTAATGTTAACGAAACAGTTCCCGTCGCTGTCCCTTCACATTAAAAACACTCCATTGTCAAAACAACGAATTACTGTTATTGTGAAGTGCCACAAGAAATGTAATCACTTCTCACCGACGACAGGCACTTTCGGACCAACCGGTTGACCCAACGCACCGCCAGTAGGAACGAAGAGATAACGTAACACGAAGCCGGTCGGCTGTTAGCGATTAGTCAACAAGTAACCATTTCTATGTTACTAACGTTAATCGTATAAGGAGCCACTAACCCTCTATAGCAGCTTCCATTGTCGCAGTGCAGCTCCTAAATACCGCCATCTTGGAGTTCGACCAGCCAATGACGTAGAAGGCACAACGCATTGTGGGATTGTATGGGCTGTAAACAGAGCCGGCGCCGCCGCCGCCGCCCTCTTCTTC